TAAACTGAACTTCATCTCTGAAATCTGGACTTTACTAGAACTATGTTAAGCTGCTTTGACACAATCTACATTGTAAAAGCGCTATGTAAATAAACATGATTTGAATTTAATTGAATTCTTGGTGATTGTTAGGGTCTACTTATCATTTCTGAGCTTGATGCTTTTCAGTTACTAGGACTTTTGTTGGTGTTCTGTGGGTTTTTTGGATGTTGCTAGGTATATTTAGGGGGAGCTTATTGCTGTGCAGTTGCTAGGATGTTGTTAGGGTTGTTTACAGCTGGTGTTCTCGATAGTTGCCGGGATTAGTGATGGGACTTTTTGACTGTTTCCAAGCTTTTTACTGGGCAGTTGTTAATATGGTTTTGTGGTTATTTCTTTTGATGTTTTAAGGGTTGCATGGGTGTTGCTCAGCAGTTGCTAGAATGTTCTCAAGGTTGTTCAACAGTTGGATTTCAGCGGGGTTGGAAGGGTATTTAATATTGTTTTAGTTTACTACTAAACAACTCCTAGGATGTTCTTGAAATTGTTGTAGAGTGAGTGTCCTGGAGGTTATTGCTAAGATGTTGTTATTGTTTTCAATGCACATGTTAGGGTGCATTTAGACTAGGCTATCCGTACAGTGCCCTGGCGCATTTCCTGGTTTGTCTGACAAGTGTACAGTAAGTGCTCAGAATCAGCCTCAGGCCCAATTCAGTTGGCCGGCCCTGGCCCATTTGGATGAGGTGTGCCAGAGTGCGGTGCAGTTGGGCTTTGGCAAGGTTGTGCTTGTAGAGCCTGAAACTGAAGATGTGACGTCACTTATATAGGTAGGTTTCATATGAATTTATTAATCATTCTTACTGTTCAATGAATGCAAACTGTCGTAGCTTATTAAAGAAGAAAACCCCTCGCTGCACATCAGCTGCACCTTCAGACAACCTCCTAATACCTGCAGCACGATAACATTTATGATAATTTATGAGGGAGATAACCGCACTTTGGCAAGGTTTAAAGGGCCATGACACCCCCCACTTTCGGTTAAAGTCTACTTCAGAATTTTTTTCAAAAGATGCATGATTAATGGGCGTGGAGCTCCGCAAGCATCGGGCAGAAGTGGGCGTGGCCAGCAGGGGAGAACATGAGCGAACGAAGCTAGCTCACAAAATGAGACATGAGACGCATGAGTTTATAGTTTACAAAGTTAAAATGCAAAGAAATGAACAGTGATTTAATGCCCTGCTACATTTGTTATTCGTAATTTCATAAACACATAACCACAATTTATATCATTATAAAGATAAGTGTGTTCATGTAAACCCTATAAATGAGGACTTCTCCCTCAATCCCCGTATCCAGCAGACTCAGTGCAGCATGTCTCCTGACCTGTCTATTTTAACCATTAGCCCTGCTGGTAATCTGGAGGATTTAGGCAAACACAGCAGCACAGTGATGTGTCTGAATGTGAACGAACTCCTGATAAAAGACAGAGTCCGCCATTCTCTAATTCTCGTGCTGCTCTCCCGACAAAAATGCTAGCAGCACACACACAGCTTTGCTGTATGATCGGCCCTGACAAGATCGCGGGGGAAAACATGCAACAAACCGCGTGGATCATGGAAACAAAAACATATGAGCCTTCATGAACGGCTAAATACTGTGTGCCTGTGCCGTGGGTCCGTGACGTGTCTCACAGCTCGGGCTTGACTCTGGCAGGTCTGGCAGGTCTCATGAATAATTAAGCAGCCGGCTCTTCTCATAGGATAATAAAACTTCGCTATGAATAATAATGAGAAACCGATGCGTCATCATTGCACTTGCAGTTCTGCGCTACGTCGCCGATTTTGATCCCGCCCCAAAAATCATTTTAAACCCGTAAGCTGAAATTAGCTGTCAAAAGCTCAAAATTATCCAGTTTTCCCCACAATTAAAGCTGACAAGTGCTAACATTGTCTTAACTGATGCTCAACACACACAAATCTGTTAATTAAAAAAAAAAGTTCTCCAGGATGTCCTGAACCTTTAAGGCAACTGTACCTAGTGAGAGTAACCCCTTTAGCATGTATGCATTTAGTGTTCTGGGGTTGTTTTGGTATTCTGACTATTTCTGAGCTTGTTTCTTCTCAGTTGCTTGGATGTTCTTTGGGTTGTTAAATTGGTGTTGTTCTGAAGGTTTCTAAGTGGTTGTTAGGGTAATTACATTTTTTGAGCGTGTTACTATTTATTTAATGAGTGTTCTGGGGATGTCTAGTGTAGTGTTCTTGAGGGTAGCCCTGAGGTTCATAAGATGGTTGCTGGGGTTTTCTCAGTGTTTTTGCTAGGTGGTTGCTAGGATGTTTTGCTGAGAGTTTTGTTTGAAGGGTGTCCTCAATTATCCTCAGGCCAACCTGGCCATCTGTGTGGGCTGCTATTTCTATGGCCTTGTGACCTGTAAAGGCTAATAAGATCCGGTAATGGATGGTGTCAGAGGTCGGACAGGAAGAGTATTCTGTAAGGAGCAGATGTTACTGGACAATTTTCGGGGGACAAACAGACAATAGATGTAAAACTAAAGAAGCATGTAAACATTGTGCTTGAAGGGGAGGCAAGAAAAACCTTTTGCGCCCTCCTGGGAAGAGCTCTAGTGAAGTGTGAGCAAGAGGCTGTGTGTGTGTTTGCGTGACTGGACTGGTTGTCTGGTTGTCAACAAGAAAAAAAAGGTTCATACCACCTTCCTCCATGCTTTTGTAGGTTGCCTTTGGTTTGAAGTCTGTTCTTCATGTCAGAACTTTCAATTTTCGTCACACAAAAACACTCAATGGTTATCATCATCATTTTAGATCTGATTGCTCTGATAGGCCACATTAGGTTTTGTAAGCCAACACAATGTGACTGTTAACTTAAGGGATAGTCCACCCAAAAATAAAAATGTATCCACCCTTTATTTACCCTCAAGTAGTTCCAAACCTTTCTGAGATTGAAGAAGAATGTTGCAGTCTGGTAGAAAAAATACTAATTAAATTAAAGAATACAATACTAATGTAATGACATAAATGGCTTCCAGTTTTTAACATTCTTTAAAATAGTTATTTTTTTATGCTCAACAGAAGAGGAAAAATACTTTGAAAGTGATGAACAAATGAAGTATAAAGTATACTGGAATGGAATATAAAGTATACTGTATTTGGTAAGGTACAGCGGATTAACATTTTATTATACACTCACCAGTCACTTTATTAGGTACACCTGTCCAACTGCTCGTTGACGCAAATTTCTAATCAGCCAATCACATTGCAGAAACTCAATGCATTGAAGAAAGGTGATTTAAGTGACTTTGAATGTGGCATGGTTGTTGGTGCCAGACAGTCTGGTCTGAGCATTTCAGAAAGGGCTGATCTACTGGATTTTTCATGCAAAACCATCTCTAGGGTTTACAGAAAATGCTCAGAAAAAGAGAAAATATCCAGTGAGCGGCAGTTCTGTGGGCGCAAATGCCTTGTTGATGTCAGAGGTCTGGGGAGAATGGCCAGACTGGTTCAAGCTGATAGAAAGGCAACAGTAACTCAAGTAACCACTCGTTACAACTGAAGCATGCAGGTGAGCATCTCTGAACACAAAACATGTCAAACCTTGAGGCGGATAAGCTTCAGCAACAGAAGACCACACCATGTGCTACTCTAGTAAGCTAAGAACAGGAAACCGAGGTTACAATTTACACAGGCTCACCAAAATTAGACAATAGAAGATTGGAGAAACGTTGCCTGGTCTGATGAGTCACGATTTCTGTTGTGACATTCAGATAGGTAGAGTCAGATTTTAGCATCAACAACTTGAAAGCATGGATCCATTCTGCCTTGTATTAACAATTCATGCCGGTGGTGGTGGTGGTGTAATGGTGTGGGGGATATTTTCTTTGCATACTTTGGGCCCGTTAGTACCAATTGAGTTTTTGCAGTTCTGAAGGCAAAAGGGAGTCCAACCTTGTACTAGAAGGGTGTACCTAATAAAGTGGCCAGTGAGTGTATTTATAACACAACTACATGCCTTTGATTGTTTTATTTAGTGCTTTGAGGGATTCTAGGAGGTTGCTAGGGTTTTTCTTAGTGATTATGTTGCATGATTATTTGGAATTTTATTTTTGTGATTAGATGTTTAGTTTAAACTACATTTTTTCCCCTTTTTTTCCATTTCTTTTTTTACTGTGAGTGATAACACATTGATTATTCCAAGATAGACGATGTTTCTGGAGAGGTTGAATATGACATCTACTATGTGTGTTTGTGTAGACCTATTGAGAAATAGGATATACTACATGAAGTAGCAGTACAGGCTATAAATGGCTTAAAACCTTTAATCAGCCTGAATCTGAGATTATTGACCCTTTTTTATTGTTTATCAGGGAAAAAAGTACTGAGTACACCAATCCTCAGCTTTTATTGTGATGCATCATTCATACTCAAAGCACAAAAGGGGTTACGAATAGCATTTGGAGTTAGGTCAAGTGGTGTGAAGCAAAAAAATATATTTTGTCGACATTTCAGAACTGTGCAACTGGGAAATGTAATGGACACAGACAAGCTGTCCCCAAATCGCACACATCTTGTGTGTCTCGAATGAACTGGCGCAGAGTATTTCATGTATGTTCTTCTACTCAGCATCTGTAATGTCTGTAGAGATCAGTCTGTGCCACTGGAGAGTAAGACATCAGCAAGATTCACTCTAGACATCTTTCAGCACTTCATCCATCATTCTGTATTAGTCACATCTCTCATGCTCGCTTATTTCAGTTTCATTTTTATTTCTGCTTCACTTTCTCAAATTAGTGCAGTGTTGAAGTGCCTTGTAGTGCTCTGTCTGACAGAAGGCGAGATTTCTTGCCTTTTAGGTCAAGGTTATGATTACGCCTACTCTAATATTCAATCATTTGAGTAGTGAGGGTTTGATTTGGTTAGATCAATAATATGAAATTAACAAAGGTGAACAATATTAACGTGAACATTTGGAAATTGTTATATCCTTGTTTTTTTTTGTGTGTGTCTTTACAGGTCTTAGAAGTCTCTGCCATCATCATCATTGAAATTGGCCAGATTTCCAACACTTTTGTGTAAGTTTATGCTTATTATGCTAATTGTTTTGCAGCTGTTAATTTAATTTAATTTAATTTAATTTAATTTAATTTAATTTAATTTAATTTAATTTAATTTAATTTAATTTAATTTAATTTAATTTAATTTAATTTAATTATTTTTAAATTTTATTATATTTTTGCTTGTTCCAATGCATTTTGTTTTAATTAATTATAAGAGATAATTTTTATTATACATTATTTATTTTATATTGGTCCTGCTTAATATGCTGATTGTTTTGTCTTCTGTTTATTTTAATTTAATTTTAATTCAATTTAATTAAATTTTATTTTATTTTTGCTTATCCAATGAGTTTTGTATTAATTAATTATAATGCATAATATTTAATTTGTTTAATATTAATTATATATATATATATATATATATATATATATATATATATATATATATATATATATATATTTATTTTTATTTTTATTTTTTTATTTTTTATTTTTTTTTACTATGCAAGACTTATATTTATTGGTGGTTATCATTATACAAAAAAATGCTGATACTAATCAGAAGCAATCATTTCAGAGAGATTTTGTAATTGCAACATTTATCTACTATTTTGGTTTATTTATTTTGTTTGTACTATTTGCATATTTATCTACAGCATATTTGATTGCAGAATGATTAGTTAGTTAGTTAGTTAGTTAGTTAAGTGGGTTTTCCTATATGTTTTATGTTATATTATTCATCTACTGCATTTACACATTACCCCTGTTATGTCACTGTGAGAGTTCCCACATGCATATTATCACATATCAACAAACTATAGTATCTGAGGGCGTTTTTAAGTACAGAAAATCTCCCTCATCCCCTCAGGTAAAATGAGTTGCGTTTTTGACGTCTGTTGTAAATGGATTGTTAAAAATGCATATGGTGTGTGTAAGTGACAGCTGTAGGGGCTTGTAGTCGGGCCTCCTAAGACACTGTGCCAGTGCTGAAGGGGGTCCGGCGAGGGTTAGAGGGGCGTCTGGGGCACAGAGAGGCACAACTCCACTGAGGGTAATTGACTGTGATGGGCATGAGAGTATTTTTAGAGCGGGAGTGTGTGTCTGTGTGTGTGTGTGTGTGTGTGTGTGTGTGTGCGTGTGTTTGGATGTAAAGACTGCCTGGGGCAATACTACCATCATTACACGAAGGACATGATGAGAGAGAGACAGAAAAAGAAAGATGAAACCCTGAATGCATGGACCTTCAACCTACAGTGACACCAAGGACATTATTCTTCACTGTGCCATTTAGGGTTTTCTCGCTCATGTTTAAGTTGCTTTAATGGTTATTGGTCAATGGTCATAAACCTTTAGACTGCACTTTAAGCTGAATAGTATCTTAAAAAATAACTATAAGATAGTAATCATGGCAAAGACAAAAGAAATTAGTTGTTAGAATTATTATTTGTTCGAAGGATTAGGTTTTAAACGTAATGAAAAAAATCTTGCGGTGCAGTGTATATTAATGACATGATGGTAATTGTACACCTTAAAAGTCCTTCATGTTGTTCCAATACAAATCAATAAAAATGAACTTTACAAGTTTAAGTGGGTTGAACATAAAACAATTAAGTTGCCCCCAAAAAACTGAACTTAAATCATGTGTTGATTCAGCTCATTTTAAATAAGTAGCTTGAACTAACAGTAACATTAATTTTTGAGCATAAAATATAGCAAGAATCATATACCAACTTATCTTGATTGAACTGATATTATATGTATTTGGATTCAGAACAGCAAGTTGTCTAAAACTGTGATTAATAATTGATTTGCTGTTTATGGTTAGCTTACGTACAGTACAAAAACTACCACATGTACGCAGGGTGCGAATTATAGGGGGCTTTGGTGGAGATTGACCCCCCTAATTAACGCTTGATCCCTCCTGAAGGACATCAGAACAAGATGTATGAGGGGGTCAGCCCTTTAATACTGAGAAATAGTTTCCCCTGATCTGTATCTTAAATAATAGTACTAATAGATAAAATAATAGAATGTAGGGGTTCATGCATAATCGCACCAATCAGTCTTTGCAAGAATCATTCAGCAATCTGAAACCAACAGATCTAGAGCAGCGGAAGTGGAATGAGACATTTTTCTTGTAAAACAGGTGTTTGTATTTACATATAGCTTAAAAGTAAAGTAACATTAGATGCATAGCATGAATAGTGTGAAATAATCAGAGGTTACTGTATGTCAGGATACATTAAATATCCCTTAAATACCTTAAACACCTAAATACATCTGATTAATAAATTTGATGTCATTTAAATAAAAAAATAAATTTGATTAACTGAAAACCTACCAAAAAGTCGACCCGCATGGTCGGCAATGTATAATTGGCAATCTTCATGTACGTATATTTTCAATTTGATTAGATTTTTTTATTATATTTTGCAGACAATGAAAATCTTGGATGAAGTGCAACTATATTACCAGATGTGTGTCTTTTGTCACTGAGTGTGGTTTCACTGTTGCCTTCCTGCATTAATGAGCTGTGATAACTGTCAGCATTTCTGAGTCAAGAGTCCAGCACTCGCCTGTTCTGATGGAGCTCAAGTGGGTTTCAGGGCTATTATGTTTTTAATCGCTGTTTCAGTTCTACACTGAAGCCCATCTCACCTCAAAAAGCCATTTCGGTAAAAGCATGTTTTTTTCTATAGTATTTTTCTTTTCTTTTCTATAGTATTTTTCTTTTCTGTGGTTGTTGAGGAAAGGATATTAACTTGAAAGCATGCTAACATGAAACATGGATGCATCTAGACATCCGTGGAAAAAAATGTTTAATTATATAACATTAATGAATCCAGAAAGCAGTTGATGAGCTGGTGTTAACATAATTAAATGTGAGGTCTAAATTGAAAATAATTTAACTAAGGGCTGGATTTAACAGGGTCTATGTGATTTAAGGAAGCTTTTTTTGAAGTGTAAATGCAGGGTCCAAAATGAACCGATAATGGCAGGAACATTTAGACTCATAAATATTCCATAGACATCATTTTGACTCATTTCTTTTCTTAATTATTTAGTGGCCTTTGTCTTGGATACTTAAAAGAAATACCACAGATTTTTAGTGTTTTTGCAGGGATGTCATTTTTGTCCAACAGTTGAGGGTGCAAAAAAACAACATTTTCAAGAGCTGTTTTTGAAGGGGACATAAATAGTACATCTAAAGTCGTTCGAATGTTAGTTTAACAGGGAGATACCATGCCATTATCCTCATCCTTTTTTCTCTGGTTCAGTGAAAATTTAACAAAATGTTTTCCTCAAGCTTTTATGTTCGTGCCACGACAAAAATCATATCCATTGTAGACATTACTATTTTTCAAAAAGGTAATGATATTATTGCTAGCATGGCAGACTTGTCGTAAATACATTGGCACCTTCTGTATTTAAAAAAATCACTTCATCTGATGTTTTTTTATCTGATGTTTAAGTGAATAAAATAGCCTTGACAGCAGTTCTTTCTTCAGTTCCACAACTAATGACTTGTGTGTAGTTTTGCATACTGTATACTATGCATTACGTACTGCGCATTGTGTACTTACACAATTATTTAAAGTAATCAAATTTTTAGGGTGGAATTCAATTTTTAAAATATTTATATTTAGTTTTAATTTAATTTTAAATGGTTTCTTATTTGGATTATGTATTATTTTAAATAGATTTTCGAAATTTGGATGTGCTTTTGTCGTTTTTATTATTCAATAAGCCACTGAGGTAAACTTCTGATTTTTTTCACCTTCTATATTATTATAATTTCAGTTTAGTTTTAGTTTTTAATATGTTTATTTTGACAGTGGTCGACAGTAACAACATTAGTAACTTAAAAATGAGGGATAAGGGATTTATCATAAATATCAAAATAATCATGTGAAGTGCTAGTAACCACCAAGGAACAGTAAATGAGATGGTCTTGGAGGCTTTTTTGTTTTTCTGTGATAGTAGCACAATGTGAAGCTCATTTACTGACGTTTGATCATTTTGTCATAGAGGGCATATCTGTCTGGGTATTCAATGCATCAATTAATTTATCCAACAAAGGATCAGCCAAGCCACATTGCTATTTATTTGTTTTCATTTTGCTCAGACATCTCGTGTTAGCATTTTGTCAAGACCATTCCAACAGGTTTTGTCACATAGGTGAGTGTACCGTGCATTCAAATGTGTACTATTGCATGAACATCATAACAATCACGTTTTAAATTACTGAAGCGAACTGAAGTGGACAATCTTAAAATGTTTTGCACCATGCCATATTTAGCATTGCTTTTTTGTGTGATTAGATTGACTGAAATGCATCTTAAATCCAGGTGTGAAAGAGGCCAATAAACGTCTTTAGTACACCATTTGTGGAAGTCAACAATAGTCCAACAGAACCACTAGTTAATCATTTCATTTACTCTTTAATGCTATTTATATTCTCATCTAGCTTGACTGAGTTGTTGAATTATACACAGTGAATGAATGTTGGTCATCCACTCATTGAGTGACTAAAGCATGTCTTGTCTGGCTTTAGGCTGTAAGTGAACCCTGTGCCACCCCGTCTAGGATGTGTGCCATGAATCCTCCCTTCAGATTGCTGGGGTTCACCGAAGGAGGCTTTGACACATGCTATTAGCCCACATGCTTTTCTATAATCTCAATATACTACAACTCACCGAGCACTTCATCAGATGTATCTAAACCTCCATTAGAATCAACTGAAACTTTTTTCGCCATAATTTAGATTATTTAATTTACTGACTGGACATATGCCTATTCAATAATTTATTATATTGTGATAATGAACATGCATGACATAGATTTAATTTCTTAGTCTTTTCTGTGTCTACATTTTGTTTTAATCTTGCCTAATAAATAATACTGCCTTATAACTAGGGTTGGGTATCATTTGTGGTTATTTCCTCAAAAAATTGTAGTGAGACATCACTACATCTTTCTTGTATTTTGTTTGGAGTTATTACACACTGTTTCTG